GCTTCGTCCGCCCCGCCCCCGGGCCGCGGTGGGCTCCTCCTGGGCTTTGCTTTCTTTAAAATCCTCAAAAAGTGGAAAAGGGATCCCGCTCCCGCCGGCCTCTGGGGCCAGTGGAAAATGTCCCCGTTTTTCTTTGCTTTCCGGAGCCCCAAGTGCGAACTCCCCGAGAAAGGACGCTTCGGAGGGTGGCTGGAGGGGCCCCGCCGGGTCGCGCTTGCACCCGTATTAGAGCTTTCGCGTCGGACTTTCCACGCCACGAGTTCCCGTAAAAACCGCAGGCAGGCAGGCAGGACGGCGGCCAGGGTCTTTTTCTGCCCGTAGCGCCCACGGGGAGGTGGGCTTTAGCTCAGTTTTATAGTTAAGGAGATCAGGACCCAGATTTATAACGTGGAGTGGCCAGGCCCAGAGGTCAGATGGAGTATAAAGCTGTTGCAAGGGTTTTAAAAAGGGTTAACCTCTCGGAACCTCGGTTTCCTTGTCTCCAGAATGATGTTGGTATCTACTTTAAGGAGTTGCAATGAAGACGAAATAGCATAATGCATGGAAAAGCATTTAACACAGTGCCTGGCATATGCTAAGTTACATGCAGCTGTGATTATAGAGCCAGCAATAAACCAAGCTAGATTCAAGACTCAAGTTCAGTGATTTTTGTTTTACTTTGTTTTAACTCTCATCACACCCCCTTCAAGCTTTTTTACCTTTAAAATTGTGCAGATCATATTTACTAAACGATTGAACCACAGAGCAGATCTTTAGTTCATGCTGTGGAATCTCTATGCTGGGGTGGGGTGGGGTGTGTGTGTGTTGTAATACCCCGTTAGCATCTCATGTTCTCCAAGGTACTGGATAGGAACATCTCTCCGAGGGAGAGCTGAAGGATAGGAGCAAACTGGTCTAGGCTGAAGCTGGTTGCTTGACTGACCAAGGAGAGTATTAGGTCACCAGGCCTTTTTGATATGTGAACTTTCTTAGTACCTGGGCATATGAATGTAGTTGTTCATTCATCCTTTCAACAAATATTTATTGAGCCCCTACTTGTATCAAGCATTTTCCTAGGTGCTGGAGATAGAGCAGTGAATAAAGCAAAGTCCCTGTCCTCACAGGGCTTATATTCCAGTGGGACAAGATGGACAATAAACAGACTATACATTTAAAATATATAAAATCAAGTAGCGAAATTGTTTTTCTACCAGTCATACCTGTAGACTTATACAGGGTCTTCAAAAAGTTTTAAAACTTTAAAGTACTTAATTATTAGAGAAACCATCTATAAACAGCATTTAGAGACAGGATCATTGAATTTTTGTTTTAGCACAACCACTGCATGTAGTGTGCCATATTTATATATCCAGTGCTATGGTAAGTGGAAAAGGGTAACCACAGATGAAGGAATGGAATTGTCTGCCTTGGGGAAAAAAAGAGCTGCTTATTATCAGAAAGATTGTTTCTATTATCCCCAAAACCTAAATGATTAAAATTTGAAATGTAAACACTCCATAAGGGTTTTTATGCAGCTCCATGTAAAACCTCTCAGTTTATTGGTGAACTTAGTTCTTAGGACATCTTAAAACTGAAATTCCAGCATGGTATAGTGGAAAGAACTCAGGATTTGAAGACAAGAAGATTTTGCTCTTAGATTTATGTCTGCCACTTAATTGCCTTCCTCGGCCTCAGTTTCCTCATTTGTAAAATGCTATCAGTCTCAGTCCCAGTTATTCTGAGAATCAAATGAAACTATATTAAATGAGGTCTAAAAGTGTTTATATTAATGCTGTGTGTTTTTTAAAAGCCAACAAATGAGTAGGTAAGTATTTTAATACCCATTGGTCTGCCTAAATAAAGATTTATGTGCTGTGAAGCATTGGAGATACAGAGCCTCCAGCCCAGCAGGACTTTGGGAAAAACCTGCAAATGGTTCATTTGATGACTCAGAATTTGAAGTGTTCTGATTTCCAAAGCTGATGCCTCAAAATTTTTGTAAGATATTTTCTTTCATGTTGTAAATGGAAATCCAGTTAGTGTACACGTTAAAGCAAATGCTACCTGTAATTCTCTAGTGGCAGTTAACCATGGAATTTAGGAATTCTTTCCCCAAAACTTTTTTTGTAATAACTGTTTGCACATCAAGCTGCAGTTTTGAAATTAGGTCTTCCTAAAATCCTGCATAGGAACATGCGAGCCTTTACCACACTTCCTTTAACTCTGGCATGAGGTCTCTGCCTATTCTAGAGTAATTTCTAGTTTTATTTCTTTGGGTAGAAATGATCTATGGCAATTAAATGAAAACCTTATGATCATTAACCCGTGAATTTCCTATAGTCTTCTACCAAATAGAACTGACCTCAGTTGCTTTTAGAGTTTGGAGCATTTTCTAAGGATATATTCAAATTACTCAAATCCCATTCTCTACTATGTAGTCATAAACCCAGTTCTTGCTTACCTTCCCACAATTCTTGTCCTCATAGTGGCTCAAAGATGTTCGGCAGCAGTGCCCCTCATTTCTCCCTATAGGAGGCCAAGATGGGTCGTCGAGCTCAACAGGAGTCAGCTCCAGCCGAGAATCACCTCAGTGACAAGAATTCTTCAGGTCTGCTTGGAGAGGTGGGTATTAAAAAATCTGAAGAAATGCTAAAAGTTAGTAATTACTTAGTGAGCCAAGATTTGATATTCCATATTTCTTCTCTTTAATGTCAGCTCTTCTATCTTTATTTGGGAATTGCCTTCCTCGTCATTTGTCCTGTTAGTTAGTAATGAAAAAGAAACCTTTTATCTTTGATGCCAGAGTAGTTTCTGTGCATTGCTTTATATTCTCAGTGAAGTACTTCCTTAAGTTAGCCGAAGCAAGGGACTGGGAAGTTTCAAAATTCAGTTGAAATCCAGGTTTTTATTTCTGCTGAATGAAGTCCAGTGAGGCATGCTGGTGACATCAAGTTAGATTATACAGCTGGACGTTGGCTTTCAGTGGGGGACCTGTACTTTCTACAGTTTTCAGGCAGGAAGGGGATTAGTACTGGCCTTACTTTCCTGGAAACTTTTCCTCTGAGTGGCCTAGAATTATGGGAATTTATCCATCTTCTTCGTGGAGGGTGGGTAATCCTGATGAGCAATACTTTTAATGCCAGCATACTATTTTCAGTAGTTTTACCTTCCTCTGTCTGTTTGAAAAAACTTTTCCCTTTTTAAGAGTCAGCTTCAGGGTAATCCCCTCTGTCAGCTCTTCTCCAGGCTGATGTGGGGCTCCTTCCTCTCGGTTCCCATAGTACCAATTATAGAACATCTCACATTATATTGCTAATTTTTGTTTTGTGTGTCTGTTGGCTCCACTAAACGGTGAGTTCTCAGACGACAGGAAACCTAGCTTATCAATTGTCTAGCTCATGGGCCCAAAGTAGGTTTAGAATAGATGAGGAGATGTCACTAAGAAGCCTGTTGGGCCAGGAAGGTACATGAGCACAGCATGCTGGGCACAAGACACAGACACACTTTACTTACATGTCACATGTATAGGAATATTCTTCATTTCTATACAAAATAAGTTTTCCATCATTTCTTCAAGTGCTCCATGTGGCCCTTTCAATTTACTTTCATTTTCTCATTTATTGTAGAAATGTGGGTACAGAGAATCATTTCTCTACGATACCAACCATGCCCATACAGAAAAGCTGGCAGCTCACTTTTAGCCTCATTGCCTGAAGACAGTAGGGAGAGTGTGATTGTGGGAACTGGAGGCCACATGTCCCTTCTAAAGGGGTAACCACTACATAGCCAGAGCTGACTGATGCTATGGGGAATACAGGCCCAGTATTACCAGATCCTCTGACTTTGCAGATGTTGGCTGCCTAAAATTTTATGTGAAAGCAGCACATTTTTATAGGTTAGCAATTAATTATAAAAATTGAATTGCTGTATGGCCTAGATCAGGCCTGAAGATTGACAGTATGTGACTTTGGCCATAGCACCTCTATTATAGTGCTTATTAGATTGTATCCTAACAGTTTACATGTCTGGCTCCTTCATGAGATCTGAGCTTCTGGAAGACAGGGGCTGTGTCTTACCATTGTACATCTTTGTCACAGTGCCTGGCACAGAGCAGGCGTGCATTTGACACTGCAAAGAATGAGGAAGATGAAGTGCATAGTGTGTGATGTATAGAGTGTTCCAGGGTGAAAGGAAAGGTTGGCAGATAGTGGAATATTGGAGGCACAGTTATGGGGAATGGTAGTATAATGGAGGGAGACTGTGAAAGAAGACACACCAGCCCCAGCCCTGGATCTCAAGAAGTTTGAACTGCAGTAGTGTGTGTCTTTAAAGAGAAAATGGGCAAGCAGATGACTGGGTTAACGGAAATCTATTCTTGGCCTCTGGCCACTTTATTTTATTTATTTATTTTTTAATATTATCTTTATTGATTTCAGAGAGAGGAAGGGAGAAGGGTAGAGAGAGAGAGAAACATCAATGATGAGAGAGTCATCACTGATCGGCTGCCTGCTGCACGCCTCTGACTGGGGATTGAGCCCGCCACCCGGGCATGTGCCCTGACAGGGAATCAAATTGTGATCTCCTGGATTCTAGGTCAATGCTCAGCCACTGAGCCATGCCCGGCTGGGCAGCCTCTGGTCACTTTAGACTGTGGTTCTAGGGGCATGCATCCCAATACCAGATCACTTATTTAATTCAACAAATATTTATTGAAGCTTACTATGTGCAGGCACCATTTTAGGGGTTGACATATTTCAGTGAACGAAAGAGACAAAATTCCCTGCCATAACAGAACTTATATTCTTGTGATTATTGTCAGTTAGGAAGACTAACTACAAGTCTTCTTAATTGTGAAGGAAGTTATAGCCTATAGTGGTTAGGTGAGTGAGCATGTGATAGGCCAGGATGTCCTGGAATGACCTGATGGCCTATGTGGCCCCCGTACCAAATCAATTCCTAGGCTGGGATCAGAAAGCACTGCCATCTACCCATCCCCTTCTCCTTGGCTTCCATGCAAGAGTCAGTTCTGTAAGCACATAACTCCAAAGTCACAGACTGTGATGAACCTTTTAGGGTTTCAGCCCTTTTAGAATATTTACTTATTTCCTCAGAGACATTTCCCCTTTTACTGTGGGCATTAGCATTTTTCTGGGAGAACATGATGAAAAGTCATTCTCCTCTTTATCTAATTGGTACTTCTGACAGCAAAATGCCAGTCAGAATTCCAGGATTCCTTCTCTCCCTGGGTTAATTGAGGTTTAAAGCAGTGCGGGCAGCCTCCCCCCTGAACCAGATGCTCACTGTGCTGTGTGGGACTTTTTGGCTGTTTCTTTCTAAAATTAGATCCTAAGACTTGTGTGTGTGCCCATTTACATTCCCAGTGTATTACTTGATATATTTATTTTTGTCCTTTCGCTGACTATATTCTAGGATGAAGCTATTCATGAAAATGTAAGTATGGTACCTGGGAGTTGTCAGACATACTAGAGTTACTTTAGAGTTAAATAGGAAATTAATTCAAACAAATTATTTTTAAGCGAGATGGCAGAATTGGGAGCATTGGTGAAGGAGGCAGAGAAGTGGTCTACTGGAAAAGAGAGAACACAGGTCTTGGCATCAGAAGACCAGGGCTTGTGACAGCTCCATTAATCAATTGCCTGGGTCTTGAACTAGTCTACTAATCTCTCTAATCCTCCATTTTATTATCTGTCAAATGATGGTAGCAATACTGCTAGGTTGGCGTGGGGATTAAGTGGAATATGCATTTAAGAGTGCTTTAATAACTGAAAGGCACGGCACAGACGTTCATTCATGCCATAAACTAGCGAATAAAGGTATTTGGACAGCGCTCTGCTGTTTCTAGTCAAAGGCAGCAAAGAGGAAGGTGTAGGCTTGGGCCTCTTTTTTTTTTTTTAAATATATCTTTATTGATTTCAGAGAGAGGAAGGGAGAGGGAGAGAGAGAGAGAAACATCAATGATGAGAGAGTCATTGATCGGCTGCAGCCCACTACCCGGGCATGTGCCCTGACCAGGACTCGAACCCCGATTGCCTGGGTCCTAGGTCGATGCTCAGTCGCTGAGCCACGCCCAGCCGGGCTTGGTCTCTTAGAGCTGGTTTGGAAGGCTCTTCAGTGCTGCTCTTCATTTGTCCATAGGTTGACTAGTAGGGATCTGAAGCAGTTTTTGTGGTTTCTGGGTGCAGTGGACATTCCTGACATGAGTGGATAACAGCACAGGTCTTGTGGTCATACAGGTGGGTCATACAGGCCTGGCTTTGCCACACATTAGTTCTATGACTCTGACTGAGCAAGTTATTTAACCTCTTTAAGCCTCAGTTTTTTCATTGGTAAAACTGGGATATTAATATTACACACTCCTTAAGGGTGGCTAGAGAGAAAAAATGAGGTAATAGGTGTAAAGCCCTTAACACAGTCTGACATGTATGTGCCCAATATATTGCTAACAATTGGTTCTCTAGACTTGGGTGTTCTTTTTAGCTTGCCTTAACCCTCTCTACTGAGGTTGAAAACTGGTGGTTTTTAGGCTGAGTTAAGCCTATAGCCATGTTTTGTTTGATCTGGGCAGAGTTAAATTTTTTTTTTTACTTGGTGGTTATCATTTATAAATTAGGAAACTTCATGTGAAAAATCTAGATTTGGGGCTTCTCTTTAAAATCAGAAGTTTTGGCATGGGGGAATGCTGGGTCATGGTGGCGGTGGCTGGAGCTGGCCGGACCTGATAACAGTGTTCGCTTACACACTGCCTGCTCTCCCTTTTGCCGCTTTAATACACCTGGTCAGATTTACTCACATCTGATCTGCCTGGCTTCTATTTCCATTTGAGTTTCAAACCCCTGCTCTTTTAGGATGGGTTAATTTTCAGGTATTTTTATGTGTCTGTTAGTGTTGAATTTGGCTATATCCATCAGAGATTCAACCCCAGTATGTACTTGAATCAAACAGGCATGATTTTCCTCACAGCAAGAAACCCAGAGGAGGGCAGAGCAGGGCTGGTGCAGCCACTGGAAAATGTCCTGCATTACCCATGCCCCTTCCAGCTCTGCCATCTGTAGCCTGTGGCTTCTTCTCATGGTTTCAAAATGGCTGGTTGTTCCCCAGGGATTAGAACTGCACTCTAGGTAGGAAGAGAAAGGATAGTTGAAGAGGTCACAGTGCATGCCTGCTAAGTGTGTGCCTCCCTTCTTCCTAAGAAAGCTGCAGCCAGAGACCTCACCAAGTAGGCTTCTAGTTACATTTCATTAGTCGGAACTGGGTCTTACAGCCACCTCACGTTGCAGGGGAGTATTCAACTGAGCATGTGGCCACACCCATGACATTGGGGGTTTTTTGGTTAGAAAGAGGAGAATGGCTATGGGGTAGGCAGTTTGCACTGACATGTTAATTTAAAAAAATATTGAATTTATGCAAAAGTTTTTATTTTTTAAAGATTTTTAAAATTGAGTTTTAGAAAGAGAAACTTCAATGTGAAAGTGAAGCATGTGTCCTGATGGAGAACTGAACTGGCAACCCTTTGGTGTATGGGACCACACCCAACCAACTGAGCCACATCGGCCAGGGCTTTATGGGAAGAATTATTTTTTAGTAGCAAAAATAAATAATTC